AGGACGGCGAGCGCCGTCGACTGGACCGTGTCACGCAGTTGACACCAGCGGTTCTCCACGGAGGCGTTCTCGGCAGCGGCGGCATCGGCGATGGGGAGGTTGTCTAGCCGTTGAGCTAGCTCATTGCTGAAATGGTGACGGTGAGCAGACAAAGACAGCAAAGCAACATTCAGCTTACCTGGGGGTCGCTTACCTTGTGGTCTCCTGCGAGGCTGTAGGCGAATACGCATCTTCGAGATGACGAGGCGATGGTCGGTCCACCCGTCAGCAACCGCGATCGCCTTCGTCACCAGCACGTCCCGCTGATCTCGCCTCCGGACGAGGACATAGTCCAGCAGGTGCCACTGACGCGACCGAGGATGCCTCCAGGTGGCCTTCTCTCGCACCGGCAGACAGAAGAAGGTATTCGTCAGGATGAGGCGGTGTTCTGCGCAGGTGCGGAGGAGAAGCAGGCCGTTGTCGTTGGAGCCGCGGAGACCGTGGGGACCCAGCACTCCCCTCCAGGCAGTATGGTCTGTGCCGACGCGGGCGTTGAAGTCACCAAGGACAATCAACTTGTCCGCCTTCGACACAGTCGCCAAGAGGGCGTGCAGGTCCTCGTAGAATTTGTCTCTGACGGCGTCGGGGTTGGTCATCGTCGGAGCGTAGGCGCTGATGATGGTGGCGAATTGGCCTCCCCAGAGAGGCAGGCGGAGGCTCATCAGGCGATCGTTGATGCCCTGCGGCAAACAGTGGCCTTGTCGGCCACTGCGCCCACGCCCACCTGAGATCGTGCTTACCTGTTCTCGGTATCTGAACCAGGTTGCTGAGGGAGGCAAGAGTGCGACATATAAAACGCACTTCTGATTTACTATCAACTAATTCACTTGTAAGTCACCACTGCTGGTTCCGCATCGTGGGGTAGCAGTGGATTTGTTCGTTTGAGACGATGGACCTCTTCGACAATTTATGGTGGAAGCGTAGAATTCACGCGGTAAGTAGCCCAGAGGTCCTTTGCTGCTTGGATTCGATCTACTTCCCATAGGTTACTTAGACTAACATCGGATAGCTGACAGGCTCGTACGGTCGGTCTTGCAGGGGAGATGTGTGATGGAGCGAGGTCAACAGTAGGGAATCCACTCCCACAACACCCACGCATTCGATACTACAATAAATTTGATGCGCTTGTATCTGTCATGAGGCGCTAAGAATCGTGGCCTTGAAGGATGCCAAGTGACTGGATAACTCGATGAGTATTTTGGGTTGATTGGAGAACTGTGAGTCAGGCTCAGTGCGTTCCTTCTTATGACATTCTTACGTAAATTGGACCCGAGCCCTCCTTGAGAAGGCCTAGTACATCCAGTGGAGACCAGGTCGTGTGCGTTGCGCATAGACGAGCTGTTTAGCTTTGTCATCCACAGCGTCCGAGTCTGTTTTGAAAGTATCTTGTTTTCACAGGAAGGTGGATGAGGGAGGAGAGAGTGCGGTAGATACCTCGGAAGTCTACCTCACTATAAACTAAGTCGCGCGTAAGTCACCATCCTGCGCCCACTCCGTGTAGTACAATGTGGGCGTCGTGGTTCGTGACAATCAAACTGTCATGTTTGATTTCTTACCTACTTCAGACATTTTGTCTCATGACCCATTAAAGTAGTACAAGTTCAGCCTCTGAGTTGCATATATGTATGATTCGAATAACCATTATATATTATGATAGTGGGCGCTCACCGATCAGGTTACGGAACATGCTCGTTCCGTTGTGCCTTGGGGCTCATACTAGAACCCTCGCAGGCAGTCGCACAGCGACTATTAGAATGATGTAAATTATGTGGTACCGACAAAGACAAGGGAGACCGGAATGGCCATTCCTGGCTTATTAGCCGTCATCAGCCAGTCATACCCAGCCCCAAGTGTGGATCACTTGAGATTCGAACCCGCTCAATGGTAGAGCGTCAAACTCCATGACCAAAGATCCCGGGTTCGAATCTCAAGTGATCCACACTTGGATTTGGGTATGACTGGCTGATGACGGCTAATAAGCCAGAAATGGCCATTCCGGTCTCCCTTGTCTTTGTCGGTACCACATGATTTAAACCATTATATATATAACCACTTGGTTATCTATTTTGTGTCTTTATAATTTGTCACGCAGCACGTGTGTTGGGATGCGGAAGGGGTACACGAAAAACGGTATGCTGACAATTGAATCTGAAAAATCATATTCCGATTTCCCAATCATTAACCCACCTCGCAAAATGTGACCTTATTAAATCTTTTATTCCCGTTAACACCATTTCCACAAAATCAATTGAGCAGTTCTTCGCCCTAGCTAACCACATCCTGGACGCTGAAAATAGGAAAGATTCACACAGAATCCGCCCAGCGCCATTTTGAAGCACATAATAAAACACCAAACTGCTGACCAGCTGTCATAGGGCATGTTACTTTAGAACCATGTACCTGCCAAAGAAAGGAATAAAAGGACCTCATAGTGACTGCTGTGTTATGATGGTCGGGATGCTTTAAGGTAGGCATCAAAGTAAAAATACGACAGTACATTACCTTTTCAGCAATGCTCTCTAAAGGAGCATTAGATTTATTTATTATTACCATTAAATGATAAAAGTAGTGCCACCTCTTAATTGTTGACATAGTGGGGAATCACAATTCCTGATGCCACGAAGTTCTTAGATGTTAGGCTCATTTCCTCAACATGAATGCTTTCTGGAGTAAGTAACCCCGGGCATAAACCATACCCTTATCATAGGCAATATTTAAGTCCCCATTGAAGTGAGAGAACTTGTAGCAGTTCGCGTCTCCTCGCTCTCCGCCTTTGTCGTGCTGCCCTCCTGTCCGCCTCAGACTCCTTGTTGATGCGCTGATGGGATGCGCGAGTGCTCGAAGCCAATCAACGCTGTCCCCACTCAGATTGGCTGGCGACGTGGAGACTACGAAGGGCGCACACACGCGCTGACACAACACCTTGAGGGCGGACGCAGACAACAGCTTGCTCGGAGCGCACTTGCGGCGACTGCCAACACAGCCTTTGTGTACACGCTTTCCAAGCAGTAAAGTTTGTCCAACTCAAACCGTCTTCCCTGACTTTTGATTGGGAATCTTTATCTTGTCGACCACACTACTTCGACAATTGGTGACCCCGACGTGATACGAACACGCAACCTTCGACAATTGGTGACTCCTTACGAACAGCAATCCTCGTTCTTCCTAATCTACGACAAAGTCAGGTGTTGATAATGGACAATTTTCCACCGGAAGTGCAGCATATTTTGGCAACCGCCTTCGGCATTCTTTCGGCGACGCAAGTTACTCAGATGGCTGATCGGCTTATGGAGATGCACGGTTTTTCCAAGCCGTCTATTTCAGCACTCTCAACTCCCTCATCTCCTCCTGCGTCTCCTATTTCGCACTTAGAGATCGAGTTCAACAAGCTGGCCGATGATATAGCCGCTCTCCAGAAGCCCACAGTTTCTGCCTCATCTCGGAGCCAACCGCAGCCGTCCACCCCGCATGTCCAGTCTTCTCATTCAGCCAGTCCAAACGCAGCTGCCACCTGCTGGTACCACACTAATTTCGGTGCTAAAGCCCGTCGCTGCGTCTCTTCTTGCTCCTTAACTTCCAAGCAGAGCAAACGGGTTAAACCGGTCAACCCGAAGGTCCGTGCAACCAATCTTTCCGACAGCTCTAACCCTGGTCGCACATTTTACGTCCGCGACACCAGGAGTGGCAGACGTTTCTTGGTTGACACTGGTGCCCAGCTTAGTGTCATTCCACCCACACCAGCTGATCGTCGGTGCCCCAATCCCGGTCTTTTCCTACAGGCCGTCAACACATCGCCTATTACCACATTTGGCACCTGCTCCCTCTCTCTGGACATCGGTCTCCGGCGTCTCTTCCCTTGGGTCTTCGTCGTTGCTGACATCCCCTGTGCAATTCTCGGTGCAGATTTCCTCGCCGCTTTCGATCTTCTGGTCGACTGCCCTCAGTCACGTCTACACGACAAGACCACCAACCTCACTGTCCGGGGTATCTCTTCCTCTGACGCCTCCCGTCATCTTGCCGTCTTGGACCCTGAACCCGAGAATCCATTTCGGCAACTCCTCGCCAAATACCCCGGCCTCACTCGCCCCAACTTCAACGTTTCTATTCCACCACATGACGTTGTTCACCACATTCGGACCACCGGCCCACCCGTGTTTTCTCGCCCCCGCCGTCTCGCGCCTACACGTCTTGCTGCCGCCAAGGCCGAATTCGAGCATATGCTTCAAATGGGCATCATCCGCCAGTCTGAAAGCCCATGGGCTTCACCCCTCCACATGGTTCCAAAGGCCGCCACTGATGACTGGCGCCCCTGCGGTGATTACAGGGCCCTGAACAACGTTACTGTCCCGGACCGCTATCCTGTCCCACATCTTCAGGATTTTGCCGGTGCCCTATTCGGCAAGTCTGTATTCTCGAAGATCGATCTGGTCCGTGCTTTCCACCAAATTCCCATAGCCCCAGAGGACGTTTCAAAGACGGCCGTTACCACCCACTTTGGCCTCTTTGAGTTCCTGCGCATGCCGTTTGGACTTCGCAACGCCTCCCAGACCTTCCAAAGGTTTGTAGACAGAGTGCTTCGCGGCCTACCATTTGTCTACGCCTATATCGACGACCTTCTGGTAGCCAGCTCCACCACCGAAGAACACATGGAGCATCTGGCAACGGTGTTTGACCGCCTTCAACAATTTGGCGTTGTTCTCAACCCGTCCAAGTGCGTCTTCGGTGTGCCCTCCCTAGAATTTCTCGGTCATCTGGTCGACTCCCACGGCATTCGGCCTCTTCCCTCAAAGGTTGCCGCCATTCGGGACTTTCCACCCCCTACCTCGAAGCGTCAGTTGCAACGATTTCTTGGTATGGTGAACTTTTATCGCCGGTTTCTCCCAAACTGTGCCGACACCATCCTACCTCTGACCAGTCTCCTCTCTGGTTCTAAGCGCACCTTTGAACTTATATCAGCCGCACTCACGTCATTTGAGCAGGTGAAAGCCCTTCTGGCTGACGCCACCCTCCTGACTCACTTTCACGCTGATGCACCCATATCTTTGATGGTCGATGCCTCCAATGTTGCTGTTGGCGCGGTTCTTCAACAAAGTCTGCCGGATTCTACCGTGCCTTTGGCTTTCTTCTCCAAGAAACTATCCAAGGCCGAAACCCGCTACAGCACATTCGGACGTGAACTTCTCGCCGCTTATCTTGCCGTAAGACACTTCCGGCACTTACTCGAAGGTCGAGAGTTCACAATTTTCACTGATCATAAGCCACTCACGTTTGCAATACATTCCCACTCTGACAAGCTAAGCCCCCGGGAGATCCGTCACCTGGACTACATTTCGCAAACTTGTTCCCAAAGAGGATGAATTTTTCCTACTCAGTGCGTCAGTGTGTAAAGATTAAATGCCCGTACCAGTAGCTGTGACCTAGGGTTGCGTATTCACCTGTGCGTGTTGCTTAGAAAGCGATTGTTTTCTGTATCAGCTTCTGTTTATAAGAACGTCTGCAGAAAACGCAAACTACCAACTCCTTAAGAGCACCTGTATTCCCCTTTCCCAATCCGCAACATAGTCAGCTGATGACAGTGTACAATTCTCTACCAGAAGTACAACGCACTTTAGCATCTTATTCTTGCCTTCTCTCGATCTTTCAGCCTAGTCAAATGGTCGACCAACTTCGCCAAGTTCTCAATGGTTTCAATTCCTCCTACTTTTCCTATCTCGGGCTGGAGGTCACAGTTTGTTTAGTTTGCTCATGATTTAACTGTTTTGTAACAATAGACAGACTCTTGTCCATCCTACAGCCCGCAGAGGTCATCTACGCGGCGCAAAGATGAGTGTCCTCCCTTTCACAATAACCGACAGTTCGTGCCCCCAACGCAGGCCTCTTCCTTCAGACTGTAAACGCCTACTTCAGCGCCACCTTCGGCACCTGCACATTCTACTTGAACATCGGCCTCCGGCATCTTCTCCTTTGGTTCTCTGACATTGCGGACGTTCATATGCCATTCCTGGCGCAGACTTCGTTGTCACTTTCAATCACCTGGTCGACTGCCCGTAGTCGTGTCTACACGACCGAGCCATCGGTCTCACCATCCGAGGTATCCCTTCCTCCAAGGTATTCCGCCGCCTCACCATCCTGGATCCTGGTCCAGATTTTCCATTTCAGCAGCTCCACGTCAAACGCCCCGGCTTCATCCTTCCCAGGTTCGACACGTCCACACCACCGCGCGACTTTGTCTATCACATTAGTACCATTGGTGCCCATGCAGTTTCTGGACCTGCCGCCTCTCGCCTACACGTCTCTCTGCGCCAAGGCCGATTCCGAACAAGCGCTTTCGGGTGGGCATCGTCCGTTAATCTAGAAGCTCTTTGGCATCGTTCCTCCACCTAGTTCTCAAGGCCGTCACTGCTGATTGGCTCCCCTGCGGGAACTCTCGAACCTTGAAGAACGTCACCACGCCTGACCGCTATCCTGTTGCGCATCTCTTGGGCCATGATAGGGCAAGTTGGTCTTCTCCAAAATCAACCTTGTTCGGTAATTTCGCCAGATCCCCATCGCATCGGAGAGAGTTTCGAAGAAGGCCATCTGCGGACCGTTGAGTTTCTTTGAGATCTTGTGCAGGCCCTTCGGGATGCGCAGTGTCGCCTAGACATTCCTAAGGTTCGTAGACACAGTGCTTCATGGCCTACCCCTTGCCTATTTCTATATTGACGACCGCTTGGTGGTCAGCTGCGCCATCTACCCAGTGGGAGTGCAAGCTGCGAGAGTCATGGTTGGCTGATCATGGCACAGAAGACGTTCGCAAACCTGGGGACCCAGAAGGGTGGCACACAGCCCTGCGTCTACCTGGGCCATCATCCTGACCGATACCACCCTGCTGATCCACTCTTACGCCGACGTACCTATCTTCCTCGTGGTCGACGCCTCCAATTTTGAGGTCCGCGCAGTTCTTTAACAACATGTCTCAGGTAAAACCCACATGTTCAGTGTGAAGACTGAAAAAGAGACGGCCTTACTCAATATAATAAGATGCCCTGGCGGAACTCGTACGCCCGCTCTGGCGGCTCCGTAGGTGCGTCTTTTGTCTGGCTGTTGACCTGCTCCGGTCATTCGGTGCTGAATACAGTGCCATCTTTACTGACATCTAAATCATCCTCTTCTCTTGTTCGCCTTGCCTGAACGTCGTTCATGGATTATTTAACGCCATACGCAGTCTAACGCTGCATCCTAGGGAAAATGATGCGTACTTGCAATTTTAAAGGTGCGTCAGCTGTTCGATGTGAAAATGCATTTCCAGAATTTTAAACAACAAAAACTTTCTGCATCGAATGTGATTGTGTCCGTCGGTCTCTGGAACCGCCCTATGACGGCTCCTTTCGGGTACTCTCTCGCGGGCCGAAGACGTTCCGCATTCAGCGCGACAATCGCGAGGAGATCGTGAGTGTGTACCGCATCAAAGGCGCCGTCCCGGACACTCCTCTGGATGAGCCCTGTGGTCCCCTACCCCCTGCTCCATCTCCTCGACCCTCTATCCCTCCGTCCCGTATTTTCCCTTTTCCACCTGTCGGTTACCTCCAACTGCCAACTCTAACTCCAACACTTTCGCCACAGGACCTATCCACTCTTCTACGGACCCTGAATATATCACTCGTAGTGGTCGTGATGTTTACTTTCCTGATCGGTTGATCACTAATTTCTTTTAGACTTGTATACATCCTCTGGCGTCGTTTCCGTAGCCCCCCTGTATCGGAGTGGGTACTGTGCCGAGGGGCTAGACTATCGTGCATTTACACACCTGTTCATCATTCTTGAAGTCAGTGTTTGTCTATTTGAATGGAAGGAACACAACACAACGCGTCGAGGTCGGCATCTGTTGGATTGTCAGGGCGGTTGACATTTGATTATTAGTTTATATTGAATCAACTGTGGAAAACTCGGCGCCTCGGTGGGATTCAAACCCACGCAGTAAGGGGAAGGCCTTAGTACAGCCAACGCTCTAACCACTTGAGCTACGAGGCCCCGTCGGACGACGCGAGTTTAATCACATGTGATTCAAGTTACCCGCCCAACCTACTGCAACGTCTGGAATCCACCACATATATGAATTTGATTATTAATTCTTTCATAACTCCTGTCTTATCCTGATATCCATAGTCTGGGATTGACAGTCGTGTCCTTAGGGCTCGCAACAAACTCTGCAACCTTACTGATGATGGCGACACTCTGTGCATGTGATTAGGAGTCGGACGGGCTATCGTGAAAGTGGAACCGAATTTGCTGGCGCGTCCCACACGCGCTCTGAGTGGCAGTTGGCCATGTGGGTATGCCGGAAGTGGTTAAGTATTTGCAGGGTCGATCAATTACATCCGATATTTTTATGCTTCTCTACTCACCCTGTCCTCTTCGGAAAGCGTTTTGTATTTTCGGCTGCTGTTTTTGCGGCAGTCCACCGCCTCTACCAATCTCGGTCTAGGTTGGCAGAGGTCTCAGCATAGATTTGAAAGTGCTCGAGCGATGACTTCTCTTCGTCGTTTCTGTGAGCCCCGGTAGTGACTTCGCTGTACAATAACCGCCTGGGCAGATGCTCGTCATTCAGGTTGGCGACGTGACGCGCCACAGCAGTTGTAACTGTCTCAGCAAGGCAGGCACACTGATGAAGCCGTTCTTACCGGAGTCGCAGCGTATGAGACCGTATTATCGTGTCTTGCCAATTTTTCCTGCTTGACTTTCATACACGGTCCAGTTCTTCGCCGCGTACAATACCGGTCTCAGGACAACGGCCCCGCACATCATAAGTTTCGTACTGAGGATGATGCCTACACTGTCATGGACAGAGTGCTGAAGCCTCCCGAAAGCCTGAATGACTTTGAAGATCTGACTTGCAGTTTTGTCGTCTATCTTCATATCCTTCGAAAATGTGCTTCCCAGATAGGGGACTTTATTCAGAGGTGCGAGTCGAGTTCCATTCACTTCGATTCTAGACGCGTCGCGCTCACCAGATAGCGATCGTCAGATGTGTAAAAGAAAACAAGTAGATGGAAAATACCGCCCCGGTGGAAGATTAGTTATGAGCAAAAGCAGTTAGCAACCAAATTCTCCCAGTGGAGACCGAAATGCAGGACTGAAGTGCAATTTATATTTTGGAAATATTTTTTCACTGGCCGGACGCGAAAAACTGAGATTTAAACAGGGAGGCTTCTAGCCAACCGTCTCATCATGGATTCCGGACTGAACAAAGGTCTCCTTATGTTTACAGGAATGGTTCTAGGTTTACCTTTAAGCGAATTCATGATATCAGCTAATTTCCATAAAATTAACGATTAACAACTAACTTCGAAAAAGTACAGACAACTGGCAAGGCTCTAGTTTCCCTACGATCTACCGTTCGATCGCCGCAAGCGACGACGCACACTACAACCCAACGAAGTGGACCCAGCAGCGTTGGCTCGCATGGATTAGGCTATAGCGAGGCAGACCTGCGCTGCATCTGCCACACTCTCTCCTCCCTCAGCCATCTGGCTCCGATAGGAAGAAAAAGTTAAGATGATCGCAGCTAGGCGCGGCCGGAGTGACTGACAAGGCCGAATAGCGCACTTAAACGTGCTATACATGGTCTGGTCTCTACTTCATGAAACAGGCTTCACCGAATACCATGCCGCCCGTCTTAGTGAAATGAGCATGTTCCGAAATGCAACCTCCCACTCGCCGCATCTCTGCGGGCAAAGTCGTTCGCGCGCACGCACACTAGCAGAGCTGTCACGCATTAAGGTGTTGTGGATGAGATTCGTGTGTAACCTTGGGGCGCGTGCTCACGGGCGAGGGGGGGGGGGGGAGCGGGGTGCTGTGAGGTGGTCTCGGTGTTGTTGTGCTACAGAAGGTATCCATAGATCCGCACTTGGCCGAAAGGATCCATGCAATGGCGAAATGTCCTGAGGCGATGAGGGAATGTAGGACGAAAGGAGTAAGTGTCTGTCGAGAGCCATCGTATCGGTTTGTCGGTCGCCATGCGATGGATCCAAAAATTACCGGCCAGGCCCTTACGTGGTTTGTAATTGCGATCGCAATAAGGACAAGTTGGGATTGAGTCCACGTTGTAAATGGTGTTGATAGTGGCGCTGTTGGCGGTGGCAGGGGGATACGAGTGTGGGTAAATCTGTCAATGATACAATGATCGAAATCTTGCAGGTTCCGAAATCAAACGTCGGGGAAGACAGCACTAGTTTGACAGCATTTACTGCAGTAATGAACGTGTTTTCGCAGCGCAGCATGTAGTGCCAGCAACTGTTGTTATAAGTCATCTGCCAGCCGTCTGAGCTCTGAACCCATGCACGAAGTGTGTGCCTGCGAGCGGCAGCTGAAGGCAAACAGTATCACTCGGCGCTGCAGATTCGGAAGATGAGATGAAAATGACCGACTTTTCGGTAAGAGACGGGAATAAGTACCTCCGTACTTCACGTAGTCCCGTGCTAAGTGCCAGAGTGGCTGGGATTGGGGTTAGGATTAGGACATGGGGACAGGCCCAATTTGTGGAATTTAGCTGAAGGCCACCTGTATTACGCGGGTTCGTATTATCGTGTCTTACCAATTTTTCCTGCTTGACTGTCATACATGGTCCAGTTCTTCGCCGCGTACAATACCGGTCTCAGGACAACGGCCCCGCACATCATAAGTTTCGTACTGAGGATGATGCCTACACTGTCATGGACAGAGTGCTGAAGCCTCCCGAAAGCCTGAATGACATTGAAGATCTGACTTGCAGTTTTGTCGTCTATCTTCATATCCTTCGAAATTGTGCTTCCCAGATAGGGGACGTTATTCAGAGGTGAGAGTCAAGTTCCATTCACTTCGATTCTAGACGCGTCACGCTCACCAGATAGCGATCGTGGATACATGGAAACCTTCGTCTCTGCAATAACTGTCAGTCTAGGTTTTGTGCAGCCGGGACCAAAGAGGATCATGTTCTGCTGCATACCCTCTTCTGTCGTCGTTTTGAGAGCGCAGTCAGCCATGAGCCAAAGGTCGTGAATGCTGGTTTTGGATATTCTTTACCGTGGGTGCTTGCGAGCATGCGTCGGTGGATGACCAGTTTTCCGTTGTTTCCGTAGGCGACGTTAGCTTCTGACCGCTCCTAACCGTAGGCGTCCACCGCAATGGCGGTAAACATGGGACAGCAGAGGATGGGAGCAAGTGCGCAGCTCTGCTTCACATTGTCATCACGAATGCTTCAGTGATTATCTCATTGTCCGTGACGCGTGCTATCATCCCGTCGTGGAGTTGCCTTGCCATCTGCGTGCATCGTTCTGGACATCCGAACTTCAGCATGATTTCCCGCATGTCATTGCGATCCACTGCATCGAAGACATTCGTCAGATACACGAAAGTGGTGATCA